CTGTTCTGTTAAATTTTGCTATTTTGACTGGGGTGAGATGATATCTCATAGTTGTTTTAATTTGCATCTCTCTTAGGGCTAGGGATTTTGAGCATTTCATGTGCTTGTTAGCCATCTGAATGTCATCTTCGGTGAAGTGCCTGTTCATATCCTGTGCTTGTGGTCTCTTCTAAACCCAGTTTTCTGTCGATGTACTGTTTCAGTTGGTTTGAGATAATCTTCAGCAAGATTTTAATTATGTGTGATATTAGCGATTATTTCCACCTTCTATTTGATCTTCTTTTTTGCGGAAAGAGTTTAAATATGAATCTCTTCAAGGCAATTTTCCAAGTAACTGTCTTCCAAATTTCTTAGCACAACCTTGTAAGCACATCCAGGAGTGCATCTGTTAGTTGAAATATTATCAGTTGGTATGCCATCAATTCCTAGGGCTGTGTTTTTTGCCAGTTCCTTCAGAGTAGCTTAAACTTCCTCCTACATCACAATTGCTTCTTGATCATATGCTGTTTCATGAAATTATTCTGTGTCACCCAATTAATTCTCGGTACAGTGTACTCCTTCCATTATATTTTGATGTGTCCTGAATCATTCAATATTCTGTCCATAGCATCCTTAAGCTTTGCAACTCAAGATTCTTAATTTATTCTTCAATTCTGGTAGCTTGAGAAATGCCAAGCAAATTCACCCCTTTCTATTTTCTCACTTCACCTTTGCATATGGTCTTTGAAATCTGTTATTCAGTTCCTAAATTTCCCCATTCTTCTCCCACATATGGCTAATAATATATTCCTTTCAGACAGTTCTTCCCCTCATCTGTTCCAGTGCCATGTTCTTTATCTACTCTTTTCCTATTCTCACTCCAAACTCCCCTGTCAGTCTTGTTTTATAAGAGCAGTGTTTATGTGGTATTTATGCTTTTGTGACTCAGAGTAATATCCTCCGGACTCACTTATGTTGTATAATGTTTTACAAATTCATTGATTTCCATTGCTGCATATTACCCATTTTATGAATGTACCATAGGTTTTTTTCTATCTATTTATTTGTTGATGGGCACTTGGGTTGCTTCCATCTCTTTGCAAACAAAGTCTCTTCTGATATCCATCTTGGTCTTTTCTTCCTTCTCTATCTTTTTAAGGACCTTTTGCATTCTTCATGGATGATACTGTCCTATAGCTCATCTGGTCTTCACTCATTATTACTCAAGACTTCAAGTGTGTTTCTGAGATGATTTTTTTAAATTCAGATGGGATAGACTCATGGTTATATTTTTGTTATTGTGGATCCGTTTTAATTTTCCATAGCTTCAGTTTAAACTTGAGTAGTTCATGATCTGTTCCACAGCCATCACCTGGCCTAATTTTTTACAGGTAACATTGAGCTCTTCCAATGATTCTTTCCTCAGATGTAATCAGTCTGGTTTCTGTGTAGTCAATCAAGGGAAGCCCATGTGTATACTTCCTGCTTGTGTTTTTATAAAAGATATTTGCAATGAGTAAATCATTGATTATAAATATTTCTATCATTCTATCTCCAGCCTTATTTCTGTAACCAAATCCTTATTTTCTGATTACTGCTCCTGCTTACTTATTCCCAACCTTTGTGTTCCAGTCACCAACTATTATTAATAAATTCGTTTGCATGCTAGATAAATTCCAAGTGCAAAAGTTGACAAAAATCTTAAATTTCCTCTACTTTGGCTTTAGTTGTTAGTAAATTTGAAAGATAGTGATATTAATAGGTCTTCCTTATATGCAAATGAATATTATCCTGTCAATCACAACATTGTATTTCAGGATGCATCTAGATATGGTCTTTTTGACTATGAATGAGACCCCATTTTTCCTCACCTTTTCATTTCCAGTGAAGTAGATTATATGATTGTCTGATTCAAAATGACTCATGAAAATCCATCTCAGCTCAGCAATGCCTCGTATGTCAATATCTATGTGTTCCATTTCTTCTTTAACAATGTCAAATTTTCCTACATTCTATATTCCAATTATTAGGGCCTGTTTGGAACTGTTTGAGAGGGGTTAAAACGAGCCTTGGTGATGTAGTGAGTTACACGTTGAGCAGGTAAATGAAATATCTGAACTCACCCAACACTCCGAAGGAAAAAAATGGAGCTGTTCCCTTTTGGAGAAGAACTCTGGTGTCATAGTTCGTAAAGACCTAGTTTGCTAACCCGAATACCATGCTTCTCTGGTTGTTCCAATCTACAAGCATCTCCAAGGGAGACAAATGAAAACCCCCTCTTCCTATATGATTTACAGCCCTGAAACCCAGTAGAAGGTAAGATAAGAGTCAGCTCTATCTCAATTGCAATGAGTTTCTTTTAGTTGGTTTCCTTTAAGATTTAATATGTAAAACTTCAGAACCCTGATGGGGGGACAGTCTTTGTGAGGTGGAATCAAATCAAAAGCAGTGAATTTACATGTTTTTAAAGGGATACATTCTTCTTAAAAAAACTCTAAAGTCTGGTCTACCAAGATCTTCCTAGACCTAAGTAAAGGAATTACTAATCTGGATAAGTACAAATCAATGATTAATTTATAATACAAGCTTGTTTATTTGTATTTTTTAATAAATAAATTTTAAAAGAAATTGTCTAATTTAAAAACATTTCAAAGAAGCAGAAACAAATAAGCTGGACTGTAGAGAGTTTTTAAAGTGTAATATGAATCGCTTCTCGTCCTTTGGCTAAGATCAAGTGTAAAAGTGTAATATGAAATTAGTAAATTCAACAGAGCTAGAATTCTGATGTTAAGCATAAATATCAACTTAGAGTGGATAAAAGAGCAAAGCACATTGTACGAATAAATAGGCTTAAGAAGTGGAGTTTAGTGTCTAAAAAATATAGTATCTAGGTTATTGATTTTTCGCATCAAAAATAATTTGTAAAATATCAAAGATGGTAGAGGGGGCATTACAGTGGTATGCAGAAGATAAGTGTGCAATAAGAAGATGCCAGTCAGTATTACTATCATTCAAATCTATGCATCAACAACTAGAGCCAGAGAGGAGGAAATAGAAGCTTTCTACCAACTTTTGCAGTCAGAAATCGATTGAACATGCAATAAAGATGCATTAATAATGTAGCAGACAAGAAGGATCAGTAGTCGGAAAACATACTTAGTGACAGAAATGAGGCAGGAGATAAAAGAACCAAATTAAGCACAATGATTGATTTATTCATTGAAAATACCTTAACAAGAAATATAAACACATATACACATGGATTTCACCTGATGGCATGCACAGTAATCAGATTTCTATTTCTATGGAAAGTATTGCTGGAGAAGTTCAATATGAAATGTGAAAAGTAGGACAAATTGGTGATTGTGGACCATACTATCCACTACTCATATCCAAGTTCAAACTAAATCTCAAAAGGTTAGATCAAATCCATAGGAACTAAAATTTCACCTTGAGACTATCTCACCTGAATTTATAAAAAACATTTCAGGAATAGATTTGAGGCCTTGAACACTTATAAGAGAAGACCAGGTGATCTCTGTGAAGGGGAAGAAAATACCAAAATGAATGTCATATTGTACTAGAGCACCAAGCAGCCAAAGCCAAGTGAAGAAATCAAGAAGTTAAGGAGCTGAACAGAAGACTTCAAAGGGCATCTCAGGAAGACAAAACAAAGTATTGTAATGAAATGTGCAATGAACTGGAGGCAGAAAATCAAAAGTGCTGATATCGCTGAGTCTTTTTTTTTTTTTTTTGTTTTCCACCGGAGTCTTTATTACAGTGTAAATCCAAGCTCAGGTCTCCCCTGGGCCCCATGCAAAGCCCGGGGGCTGGGACTTGCGGTGTCCCAGAGACACTAACCATTCACTGCGCCTCCAGTGGCGGGGTCGTGGAAGTGCAGGGCGAGCGCCCTGTCTAGGCAACTACAAGTCCTAGTAGGCCCCGAGGCCACGGTGCCTCATCTTTCCTGGACTCTTAGAGCAGAGCCTCTTGGGAAATGTAGTCCTGGCCGCTCAGGCTATTTGCCCTAACTCCCCTGGTGTGAGTGATTCTGACACCCACAGGGAAATGGCTTGGGCCAGGCGGGGAGACAGGTGGATATGGAAGGGAGATGGAAGGGAACAAAGGGCGGCTGGGGTGGGGGCAGGTGTCCCACGGGCAGAGACACCCCTCTCATTCGGCTTTGGCTTTGGATCCGGAGGCTGCAGCTGCTGCCGAGGTAAGGGCTCCGGTCCCTGGGATCTTAGCTCGGATCTTAGCTTTGAAGTGGCTCAACTGATTTGTCACCAACCCCACATACTGGTCGATCTGGACCTGGTGTTGCCGGTATAGCAGGGGGAAGGTGAATAAGCCGATCACTCCCAGAATGAGAAGAGTCAAACCATTGAAGACGGCGCCCACAAAGGTCAAGATGTAGAAGAGGAAGGCCAACTTAAGGGAGTCCACGAGGTCTTCTACTAGAAAGAAATGTCGCAGCTGTGTGAATGCAGAGACCACTCGGGAGGCAATCTGCTTGGACAACCGCTCTGTCTGCTCCTGGGTCAAGGTCAAGTCCACATCCAGGTAGGCCTGGAAAGGGTTGGCACCATCCCCCCGGTGCACGGCCTGCAGCACTTTGCAGTAAACCCTGAGAGAGATGGTGCCGCAGAGCAGCAGCAGAGCCACGTGGGCGACCACGGACACGATGCTAAAGTGCAGGAGGCAGAGCAGGGAGACCATGAAGCCCGTGAAGACGGCTCCTGAAGTCCGCGTGTCCTTCCAGTACAGCAGGTCCGCTACTTTACTCCCCATCTTCGCTGATAGTCAGAGGCTGCGGACGCCAGGGCACCTCGGGGATTTTTGCCCACTTCCCGCTGAGTCTTTCTTAAGCTGAAGGAACTGAAGAACAAATTCAAGCCTCGAGTTGCAATACTTAAGGGTGCTTTGAACAGATTATGAAATGATCCAGGAAGCATTAAAAGAAAATGAAAGACTTATACAGAGTCTTATATCAAAAGAATCAGCTGACACAGAATTTTATGAAACAACCTATGATCAAGGGGCATTGGTGATGATGGAGGAAGTTCAAGCTGCTCTGAAAGAACTGGCAAAAAAAACAAGGCCCTAGGAATTGTTGGAACACCAATCAACAAACACGCTGCCCTGGATACACTCACCAAATTGTGCTAAGAAATCTGGAAGACAACCACCTGGCCTACTGACTGGAAGAGATCCATATTTGTTCCCATTCCAAAAATATTTGACCCTACAGGGTGGAATTTATCAAAAATATCATTACTATCACATGCAATCAAGATCATACTAAATATTCTCCAAAAATGACTGAAACAGAACTTCAGTAGAGAGAGAACCACTTAGAAGAGTTCGTGATACCAGGGAAATTATAGATATTGTTAAGTGGATGTTGGCTGAAAGCAGAGAATACCAGAGGAATGTCTATCTGTGAAATGTCTATTGACTCTGCAAAAGCATTTGACTGTAGATCACAACAAACTAGCTAACTCTGAGGAGAATGGGAATCCCAGAACAGAACATTTGACTGTGCTTATATGAACCTGTGCTTTGACTAGGAGGCAGTTGTCAGAACAGTGCAAGGAAACACTGCCTGGTTCAAAATTCAGGAAAGGTGTATGCCAGGAATGCATCTTTCTCCATAACTTTTCAATCTATATGAGGAACAGATCATTTGGAAGGTTGGGCTCTGTAAGGAGGAAACATGGCATCAGGATTGGAGGAAGACTCATCAACAACTTGGATTATACAGAAGATACACCTTGCTTAGCAAAACTGAGGAGAACCTGAGGCATTTGCTGCAGATGGTCAAGGACTACACAGCCTTAAATATGGAATGGTTTAACATGAAGATATCAATGATTCTCACCACTGGGCCAAGTGAAAGCATCATAATAGATGGTGAAGAGATTTGTTTGTCTCCACATTCAATACTTTTGGTATCAGAAGCTACAAAATCAAAAGATAAATTCCACTGGGGAAGATCTGCTGTCAGGGGCCTCTCCAGAGTCCTGAAAAGCAACGTCAGTCTGGAGACTAAGATGCGCCTGATCTAAACTATTGTCTTTACAATCACTTGCTGTGCATCAGAAACTGTATAATAACTAAGAATGATAAAAGGGGAATTGATGTCTTTGAGTTGTGGTACTGGAGAAGAGTATTGAACACACCGAGAACTGCTAAGAGAACGGTTTCTTCCTGGAGAAGGTGAAGCCAGGCTGCTCCTTGGAGGCAAGGATTCTGAAGCTCCATCCAACATACTTTGGGCACATTGCAAGGAAGGACTGGTCCTTGGAGAGAGACATCATGATTGAAGGTGGAGAGACAGAACGAGAGAGAATTACCTTGGATGAAATGGATTGAATCAGTGACTAGGTTATTGGGGGTAGGTGTGTCAGAGACAATGAGGTTGGTTCAAGATACAGCAGGCTTCGGAGCGGTTATACATAGGGTTGCTGTGAATCACAAGAAATTTGAAGACACATAACAACAACAGATATCAGATTATTGTGTAGTAGTATTATTTTAATGACTCCAGGAAAGTAGATATAGCAATTAGCTGTGTCAATAGAAATAGCACAATCACTACCAGAAAAGATTTGCTAAATTCTGTGTCAATCCATCTTGTTAGTGTCTTTGTAACTGGTGATCTTTTACTTTTCCAAGCATAATGTCTTTCTTCAAGTACTGTCCCCTTCTGAAAACACACCCAAATTATGTTAGTGGAAGCTTCTACACCTTGGTCTCTTAAGAGCACCCAGTGTAACCTTCCCTAAATTCTTTTAAAGTATCAGAGCCAAATGTATCCAGACACCAATTTACTAAGCTCCAAAACTCTTAGATACTTCATTCTGCTCTAACAAAAAGATCAGTTACAGGGGACTTGGTGACTGTGGAACATTGCTGTGTCATAATGTATTAATGCAATGTTCTATGGTTACTGGATTTAATGCATAAGGAAAATGTGACTCAAACAGGTTAATTGGCTCATCAAGTGTCTGACAATTGGGATGTCAACACTACTTATGGCTTCACAAAGAACTTTGACTTGCAGGCATTGTCTTAGAATCAAGATAAAAAAGTGTATATTAAATATAATTTAAAACCTGAAGGACCTATAAGGCATATTTACAAAAAGATATAGAATAAATCTTTAAGTCTTTAAATTACATAGGGCCATGTACAAATTTTTTAAAATTACATTTTGAAAAGTATTATGTGAAGAATGAGAAAACAAGCTATTGGTAAAAAATTTCTTCACATGTCTGTCTAAAATTTTATACCAAAATATTTAAAATAATTTCAAATTATATAAAACAAACAATTAATAGTAATAAACAGGTAAATAAGTACATGAAAGGATATTGAACATCACTGTTGTTGTTGTTAAACGTCATGAAGTCATAGTGAAGTACAACATGAAAAATTCATGAAGTACAAGAAAAATTCCTATTATGTTACCATATTCACAAGCTCTGCAATGCACAAGCCCATTCCAAACCATCTCAATGAAGGTTTTCTGCTGTTTCCTTGACCTTCCCCTTGTCCAAGCATAATATCCTTTGACTCCTCCTGATAATTTGCTCAAAGCATGTGTAAAAGAGCATGAGGTGCATAGGGATGGTTGTGTCTTATCTCCATCAACTCCGCAAAGGGGTACTGTCCACATCAACAGCACAAACAACACAAAACAATTCCCATGAGGTCAGACATGTCCCCCATGCTCCTGAACCCCTTTCTGCTCATCCCAACAGCAATCATACGGCTTTCCTGGATCCAAAGTCCATTATAATAGCTCACAGATCACACAAAACCATTTTAGGGAAGTCAAACAGCTGTTATTTGGGTTAGTTGCAGAATACAATCACTCAGGACAACATCCCTAATGTGCTCACAGGAACAGATTTATCCTTCCTTGAACACATTGGTCCTCTATTCAACACATGGATCCTCTATTGACATATTGAGGGCCTTGAGCTTTATGATTTTAGGCCAGTCCTGACCATTATGGTTTTCCCTCCAAGTCATCCAATTAACTCAGAAAAAGTCTCTTAGATCTGGGCCACCATGGGGTATCAGTCCCCAAATCCACTCCATCTCATATCAGGTCTTTCATTCTCTGCTACGGCTGGTCCTAGTCAGGCTGGCAGAAGAATCTCTGGCCTTGAAGGATGCGTTGCATTTTTCTTTCTCCTTTGCTGGTGGTCAGTTTTGCCTTTTCTGCTGTTGGATTTGCTCAAGTTAGTGACAAGGCTAGTCAGTCTCCTTGTGGATAGGCTAGCACACCCTGTTTGCATATTACTGACATGCACATGTCAGAGTCAGTCAATGGATATCATTTTTTTTTAACAATTTTTTTGAACAATTACTTTTTAACATCCTGGTATGTAAGATTAAGTCTCACCATCCTGACCTACACAGAGAACTCTGACTTCATTTATTCCAAAGCAAAATGTTCATTCTTTATACAATCAATGCATAGTATATACAGTATTTTTCATCAGTCTCACAATTCAAAGGCATCATTCCTCAAGTTTCCTTATGAGGTGTCCATATATCAAATAAATATGAAAAAACTGAGAATACCTTGACTTCAGTCAGATACACTTTAGTCTTTAAAGTGACTTTAGCACTTTAATTAGGTCCTTGACAACAGATTTTCCAAAAACAATACATTGTATGTTTTCTTGACTACTATTTCTATGGGTATTGATTGTGTGTCCAAGTAAAATGAAGTACTTGATAACTAATCTTTTCTCTAGTTATCAATATGTTGTCTATTGGTCCAGTTGAGAAGATTTTTGGGTTTTTTATGATGAGGTGTAATACCGAAGACTATAGTTTTTGTATTTCTTGTTGTTGTTAGGTTTCATCAGGTTGAGTAGTCCATAACAAGTCCTAAACAATTAACCTGAAACTTGTCCCATCCTGTTACAACCTCACTATCTAGGACCCACTTGAGTCCATTGTCAATTCACCAGGCTGAGGGTCTTTCTCGTCTTCACCATCCCTTTTGGAGTCATTCTCCAAGGAATAGCCTCTTCTAACAATATGCCCAAGGTGTGCAAGACAACAATTCTGCACCCTTCCTGCAAGGAGCAATCTGGCAGCACCTTTGTCAAGTCATATCTGCTTGTTCTTTTGGCAGTATGTGGAATATTCAGTACTCTTCCCCAGAACCACAGTTGGACTTTGTGGTGAGTTGTTGTTAGCTGCCATCAAGTAAAATAAGACTCCATAACAAATCTGTGGACAAAAGATTTGAACCTTGTTCTCTCCTACACCACCCTCACAACCTCCTGACACACAAGAACTCATTTTAGCAGTCACTGTGTCAATCCACCTGGCTGGGGGTCTTTCTCTTCTTCACCAACTCCACCTTTCCCAGCATCAGTCATATTATTCTCCAAGGAATTGTGGCTCCTAGCAATATGTCTAAAGTTTTTGAAGTCAAGCTTTATCATTCTTGCCTCCAAAGAGCTTTCCGGCTGCACCTGCTTCAAAACTTCTCTGTTTGTTCTTTTGGCTGTCCATGGGATGTTCAGGGCTTTTCTCCAACACCAAAGCTCAAAGGTGTCATTTCTTTTTCTGTCATCTCTACTCATCGTCCAGCTCTCAGATGCATAGGAAGTGATCAGAAAGACTACGGCCTGAATCAGACACAACTTAGGCTACAAACTGACATCCTCACTCTTCAATAATTTAGAGAGGTCCCTAACTGTAGATTATCCCAATGCAATGTGTCTTCTTATTTTCTGACTGCTGGTACAAATGGTGTTAATTGTGGATTCAAGTAAGATGACACTCTTGACAGTTTCAAT